GGTTTAGGGGTTTAGGGTGTTTAGGCTTTATAGAGTTCAGGGTTTAGGGGTTCTAGAGTTTTAGGGTTTAGGGTTTAGGGGTTTAGGGGTTTAGGGTATGTCCTGCTGCTCCAGCTGCAAAGATGCGGCAATGCTGCGCAAGACCAGCGGAAAGTGCAGAACGGCAGAGATGCCACCAGCTGCTGCAACGGCTCCAAATAGCTTGGAGTCCGAATCTTGCTGCTGTATAAGTCGCTCTCGCTGCGCATCGGGCAGGGGCACTAGACTTATGGTAAGCCAGCTCATGAACAACCATCCGGAGAAGTTGATGAAGAAGCTGATGGTTAATGCAAGCGTCGCACTTATCCAGAGAGCCTTGACAGTTAGAATAGGGCTTTGGGGCAGAATGTCTCATACCATATGGGTAGTTCTCTAAATTAGGGTCCCTTTTCAGGTCCCCATGTAATACGGCACCCTTATAAAACACAGGACCCCCAAAGGGACCCTAATTAAGAGAAGTACCCATATTTAGAATAGGGAACCTCCACAGGGAACAACATATGGGTAATTTTTACGACCGCCTCTACTCTCCATTGCAGTTCCGTCGAGTGCATTAAGACACAAGTAGAACAAGCAACCCTAAACCCTAAACCCTAAACCCTCTAACAAGGAACCCTGGGGAATAATGGGAGTAAGGATTCGCACCCCTAGACAGAGATCCCTACTCCCCCAGGAATTAAGGAGCTCCCCTTTTTGGTCTTAATTAAGTCTTACAAGGAAGCTAGGAGCACAAAAAGGGAGAAAGGCCCCACCAGGAGACACCCTAAACCCCTAAGCCCCTAGAAAAAGACCCCACTCGGAGACATGCTACACCCCAAAACCCCTATGCCCAAAGCCCCAAAACCCCTAAACCCCAACACCCCTGAAGCCCCTAGCCCTAGACCCCGCAAACCCCTAGACCCCTAGACCCCAAGACCCCTAGACCCCTAAACCCAAAAACCCCTAAACCCCTAGACCCCAAAACCCCAAAACCCCTAAACCCCTAGACCCCTAAGCCCAAAACCCCATCCGGAGAGCATGGGTCTGCACATGGAGCAGCTGCTCGTGGGGAGGCCACACCCGGTCCCTGGTCTGACTCCAGTTCGCCTGAAGTTTAGAAACTTTGGGCGTTTGGGGTTTAGGGTTTAGGGGCTGTGGGGTTTGGGGCTTAGGGGCTGTGGGGTTTGGGGTTTAGGGTCTGTGGGGTTTGGGGTTTAGGGTTTAGGGTTGAAGGTTTAGGGTGGTTCAGGGCTTAGGGCTTAAGGTTTGGGGTATACGATATAATGATTGTACTCATTTAGGGTTTCGGTGTATATGACATTACAGTCACTTAGGTTGTTTGGAGCCTTTGGGGTAGGTAGATATTACAGTGACATTTTATTTACTTAGGGTATTTGGCGCAGATTGTGAAATGATTGCCGTCAGAAACCCTAATTCAAAAAGACAGGCTTCGATAAGACTTCAGGCTTTGCCCACACTCAGACCCAAGTACCGTTCGTTGGCTACCCTGTATTCTTACCAGTATATAGGATCCTAACCATGAGCTCGGGTTAGAGTTGTTCATAAAGCAGGTAGTACCCTCTTGCTAGGTTGGGCTGGGGAAGTTTAGTAGGTCATGAAAAGCTTCGTGTTTGATTCTTGTACCTGAGATCGAGTTCAAGAACAAAAGCCCAGTCGCTGTCTTGAGTTTGAGGTACATCAGTGGCACAGCCGGAGAAAGGACTGCAAGAGTGCTTGTCAAGGAAGTCGGCGGCTTCACTAGGGCCGTCACCGGCCCAAAGGAAATCAGGAAGCACAGTGAATACAGAATGCGCTGGTCCTGGCCGTGGTCAAGAATCAGATGTCGGAGCATCCAATGCAAGCGATGCTCTGTGTCCCATTGACGCAAGGTCGGAGCAGCTGTCAACATGATGACACCGCACCACAAGCCCGCAGGAAATACCCACTCCCCCATTCCTAGAAGCTCTAGCACGTAAGGTGGCGGTGTGGGCTTGCGCGGCCGGTACGTCACAGCCACACCCCACCAGAGCAGCAGACAGGTCATAATGAAGAGGAACTTGTTCCTGCTGAACTCCTCGGTCCTATGCCGAAGATTGTCAGGAAAGTCTGAGAATGGAGCCATGCAGCACTCGGAGAAACAGCTGCGCAGGGTTCGCAGACAACGAGTTGGCCAAGCAGGTCTATCATGCACTGTCTGTGCAAGGATTTCGTGACAGATGTCGCACTTTACGGCAGCTGAAGGAGCATCGTAGAGTCCTCCTGCCCTGTGTTGCCACCATTCAGACAGGCAGTCAGCATGAACCCAACGCATCGAACCCCGACAAGCGCAGGGCTCGATGAGTTCTCTACCGGGTTCCGGGCCGTCCAAGCATATTCGACAAGCCCGCGGAGTGTCCTCCATGCTCTCTTAGCTGCTAACTGCACTTCTTGAGCCCGGAAATGCCTTTCTTCCTTGTCCAGTCGTCGATGGTTCTAGAGGTCAGGCCGCAAAACAAAGAAAGGAAAGATTCCATCAGATCAGGATGTGTTCATGGCTACTAAACTCCCCTCATCTGCAACTCCGCAACCCTACACCCTAAACCCTACACCCTACACCCTAAATCCTATAGACCCTAAACCCTATACCACAAACCCTAAACCCTATATAAACCCTAAGCCCTATAGCCCTGAATCCTAAACCCTCAACCCTCTAAACCCTAAGCTCTATAAGCCCTAAACCCTCAACCCTAAAACCCTAGAAACCCAAAGCTCTCTAAGCCCTAAGCCCTCAACACCAGGTCCAACATGAAAATCAGCTCCAACTCCCGGGGCTCCGGGGGCTCTCCACGACCCGCGGCCTAGGGTTTTTATGGGGCTTATAGGGTTTATAGGGGTGTATGGGGCTTATGGGGTTTATAAACGGTTTATAGGTTTCTTTAGAGTTTAGGGCTTATGGGGCTTATGGGGTTTATCTGGACCCCAAAAGTATGTAGACTAATAGCCTTTTTTTATGGGTTTTGGGCCGCTACTTTACCTACTTTATCGGGGGTTTAGGTCTAGGGTTTTAGAGTTTAGGGCTTAGGGTCTCAAAACCCGAAGGGCTACAAGCCCTAAACCCGTTAGTTTGAAGCATCACTGGCCTCCACGGAGGGGCCCTCGACGGATAAAACACAACGCCATGGCCCACGGCAGGAGAGAAAGCTTCGGGTTCGTGGGCTTCGGGTTTAGGATGTTTAGGTGTTTTTTGAGTTTGGGAGTTTAGGGTTTAGGGCTTTTAGGGATTTTAGAGTTTGGGAGTTTAGGGTTTAGGGTTTCTAGGCTTTAGGAGTTTAGGATTTTTTTTTCGGGTTTAGTGCTTTAGGTAAGGCTTCCGAAATAAGGGTGGGGGGCTTCGCCAACAGGGCTTAGAATCTAGGGGTTGACGCTTTGTCTTGCTAGTTCTGTCGAGATTCCCGGTTTTGTGGTTCAAGCACTGTCGGCGTGCGGAGGTCTTTGATGCTCTGGCGTTGTGGTTTTGCCAACCCTGAACCCTAAACCCCCAAAAACCCTACACCC